TCAACAAACATGGAAAACAATGACGTATCTCTTTTCCTGAGCCTGATGTTTTTATTCTAACATCAACCCTCTTTGAGGACTACCCTTTGCTGGATCTCCACTTAAGGTTGTGAGGTCCAGCACTGTAATAAACAGCACTATTTAAAATCCCTGTGAGATGCAGCCATTTCTGAAAAAATGCAAGACTAGGGATAATACCTATACACATAATAAAAGTGAAAATGTGTATGTGTGTATGTGGCGAAGTGTCCACTTACACAGACAGTCTCCCACCTCCACAAACAGGCTATAGTTCCAAGTGCTGAGAAGCCTCCAGAGGCACTGGAGAGGTTATAGAGAGCACCATGAACATGTAGCTCAAACCCTGCCAATGTCGTCCTCAAACACTATGGCATACCACCCAAGGAATGCTTTCAGTCGGGGAGAATTTCATCCTAGATTTGACATGTTTCCTCCACCACAGGCAGGCACCCCAGGGTTCCTTGTGTGATATTTGCATGGCCCCACCCACTGCCTTTCCCTTTAACCTTTCCTACCCTTTCCTATGGCACACAGCAAACACAGAAGAATTGATCAGCAACTGAACAGAGCAAGCATGGAAATAATGAATACAGTTTAAATCAAAATACACTGCCTCTTACCATAGTGGAGAAGATGGCCTTCTGTTGGCTGTCCAGGTGCTAATCATCTGTAGTACCTTCAAGGCTAATATCTTGGAAGTCCTTTGTAGTGCTTTTGAACCAAATTTGAGCAGGAGGTCAAGGGCTAATGCCCTGCATATTGGACAGAGACACACTATAGCTCCCTGATGCTAGTCTGTAGCTGTTGTGGCAAAAAGTGAAGGGGACTTGTCAGTACATGCATTGGGTCCCGGAAAATATTGTGTGGTTATGAGTACAACAGCAATAAGATTCAGCAGCTTTCAAGATACTTCTTATTCTTTGAAAAAAGCCAGAGCTTTGTGGAGATGGTGATATTTCAAGTAACCTCAGCCTTCATTCCATTTACCCTCACTCTACAAATCTTTTCCGCCCCTCCCACTTGAACATAATTTGGTTTGATGGCCTACTGTCTGCCCTATTTTCTAGGCGTTATTATTATTTTCCAAGACCTAGCAGAGCCTTCAAGATGACAGCTACCTCTTAAGGGAGCCAAAATATTTATATGATGCAAACAGGGTGGGGAGTAAACAGTTCATTCAGCATTGAAACCAAGATGGCATTTTTTTTAAAAAAAAAACATTATTTTCTCCAAAAGACGATTTCCTTGCAAGAACAGATGCATTATTGAGGAATCCACTGAAAAGGCCTGAGGTCACAATGCAGTTGGAGGTTAGAAAATGAGCTGCTGGATGCACTCAAGCAAAGGCTTAGAGGGTTTTCTTTACTATGTGATTTCTTCTGTTGTAATGCATAACACTGTGACCTTGGGGAACTGACAGTAACTGTAATGCATTTGTAATAACATTCCTTTTTTGCTGATGGAATTCAATCTGTGTTTTAAAACCTCAGTCAAAATGCTCTAATGCTGGGACGGGGAGGCAGGATAACAACCTGGTTTTGATTGTAAAAGCTGTCCAGCTTGCATGGAATGATTTCAGCAGCTTAAGGATACCACATTTAGAACTGCAAACTCCTCAATTCTAAATGTAGTATCCTTAAAATAATAGAATCACAGAAACATATAGTTGGAGGAGACCTCATGGGCCATCCAGTCCACCCCCCTGCAAGAAGCAGGAAAATTGCATTCAAAATATCCTTCTTAATATTGTTTACCTATTAATTTTCAGTGACTTAAATCTGTGATGTGAAACTATTGGCCTCCAAATGTTGTTAGACTACAGCTCCCATGAGCTCTAGCAAATATAACTGATAGTGAAGGATTATGGGAATTGCAGTCCATCTAAATCTGAAAGACCATGCTCCTTTTTTAACCAGAGATGCAACACTACTGAAAATTTTGAAGCCATTGGAAATAAATTCAAATTCTCTTCCCTGTTTTGGGGGAGAAATTGTTATCTCTAGAAAATATTACCACATATTACAGACTGAAAGTCCCTATTGTTAATCTAAGAACATAAGATATTATAATCTTGTTTTGCGTAGGATCATAGTGTTTTGTATAGTAAAACTTTATCCAAGAATAATGAGATTCAGTTTCCTTTTGAAAAATACTATTTTTTTACAAATGGAGTTGCAAGATTTGCAATGGTAAGAAATTTCTTCTTTCAGGTTTTTAAAAGGAAGCAAAAAAAACAAGCAAATATAAACAGTAAAACCATGCACATTAGTCATATCTAGTCATCCATGGTTTCAAGTAAACACAAAACACTCTGTTTCATAAAAGAAACTGATAAAAGAAAACATAAACTAGGAATTGAAATGAAAGGTGTACATTGTCTTCCATAATAAAAGTGTTTCTGTTACATAGTTCCTAGAAATAATTTGAGGGAAGGATAATATATGTTTTATGCAATTTATCTGTCATTTAAAAAGTACTGCATAATCCATTTTTCTCCACCCAACCCCCATTTTTCCAGAAAAGGGAGAGGAATGATTTCCTGTTTTTTTTTCAGAGTTTTCCCCATGCCTTCACATCTCGATCTTAGCTTACAGAGTGTAGGAATTCTGTTTCTGACCAATTACTCCCAAATAGGAGCCAAATAAAATGTGTAATACAGATCCTCCAACATGCGAGTGTGGAGAAGAGCAAACCACAGACCACCTATTACAATGCAGTCTGAGCCCTTCCACATGCACAATGGAAGACCTTCTTATAGTAACACCAGAGGTATTTCAAGTGGCGAATTACTGGTCAGGGGACATTTAGTATAATGTCAAGTTTTAAAACTCTGTGTTTTAAAATACAGTACATTACAACTGCACCCTTGGTTTGCTTCTGATACAATAAATAAAATAAATACAGGTCCTCAAGAAAACATGTTATTGAAAACATAGTAGATGAATTACCAAAACAAAATTACATTTTAACAATACATTGGGTCTTTCATTCATGTGGCCTGTCAATGGGTCTGTATCACTGGAAGTGGGTAGTGACTCACTTCTTTGGTATGGTACAAATGTTAGCTATGCTGATGATATTTTTCCTGTTTGTTAAGGATATAGTAGTACTATAGCATTATTCATCTCAATAGTTATGTTGAGTAATCAGAACTTTAGATCTTTCAAAAAATTACCTTACGGCATGATTTTAGATTACCACAATGATACTGTGTTCCATAACCTTGTAACACATCTCACTAAATTCGGTGGAGGCTATTACGATATTTAGCATTAAATGTTTAAGTTGTCGTTATCCATTTGTGTTACTTTTGTGGTGGGTGTGATCTGTGATTGGGCTGGGCCCCATGTGGGCTGCCCCAAATCCCCCTTAGGGAGATGGTGGCGGGATTTAAAAATTAAATTATTTTATTATATTTATTTTTGGTCGGATTTATGCTTTTTGATTTTGCATTGTTATTAGTTTAGTATCATAATCAGAGATGAATTATGTCCAAGGTTTTTGCTGTAAAATATTTTATCCTGTGATGAAATAGCACTGATGATTTCATCTGAGTTCACTTCTTTACTTCACACTTTAGGTGTATTATGGTGACTCTGGCTTGCTTTTGCTCTATCTCACCAATGTTTAGCTCTGCCAATGAAAAGAACTGTGATATTAGGACTTGTCCAGATTTTCTGTGTGAGTTTTTCGGTTCTGATGGTGCTCGCACAAGGAACAATTTGAGTTTAAATACCCTAGTGGCTGCTTCATACAACCAAGTGATTTACAGTGACAGAGATTCTGTACAGCTGTGTTTGTACTATTACTACTACTACTACTACTACTAGTAGTAGTAGTTATTATTATTATTATTATTATTATTATTATTATTATTATTTTCCTTCTTACCCACCTCTTTTCGTGGCTTGAAGTGGGGCAAAACACAGTTAAAAACACATTATAAAACAATAAGTAAAATTCATATATTAAAATGTATACACCTACATGTGTGTCCTTGCATGAAAGAGAGAGAGAGAAAGAAAGAGATGCTTCCTAAAAGAGGGTATTTTCCACTGCCACTTTGGGGTAAAGCTGGGTAAGGGATCTAAGCAGGCTACTATTATCATGCAGTATAAGTGAGATGAGTCACTTTCAGGTCATTCCAACCTCGGTTTTGCTACTTAAAGGATTAAATAATTTGAATGGTGGAACAAATTCAACTGTTGATCATTCAAGTTAATTACTTGAAGTTTTTCTAGTTGTGGGTTATCTCAGAAGGGCAACATGCATTATTAGCTTCTCATCCAACAGGCCAAGGAAATGAGTGGGAGTAGCCAAAGGATACCATGAGCTTGCAGTTCTTTTCCATAAACTTCAGATGTGGAGAGTTTCCAGACAATTGGAGAACTGTCAGATATATAAAATTGCTACTGGAATTGTAGCCAGTACTGCACATTACAATAATAACGCTACTGGTATTATGATACATACATATCACATTCTTACTGACATTAAATCCCTGTGTTTACTGTAACATCATCGGTAGCTGCATGTCCATAATATAGATATGAATGTAGCTGTTCTCCACACCTTAACCTAATATTAAACAAACAGAACCCAATGTTGACAAACTAAAGGGCTGAATCAAACGTTAACACAGTTTGAAAGGAGGCCAGCAATTGCTAACAATGGCAGGAAAAGCATTTCCCCTCGTCTGTTTTAGTGCATAAGGTGGAGGGTGGAATATCCTTGGCTCTCCGGATGTTTTTGACTTCAGCTTCCAGAAAACCCAGCCAACATGTCCGTGATAAGCTATTGTGGAGAGCCAGTCGTTTAGACAGCTAGCACCAATTTCTGCGTATGTACAAGCACCACTGCACAGGCATAATGGTCAGGAATCCAGATCCACATAGAATATAATTCCAAAAGATGTAGAAATAGAAAGTGTATATTTCTGTGTAACAACCCTATTCTTTTTTCTTTTTTACTTTTTACAGATGTATTCTCCTTCCCCTTCTTGGAGCCAAGGCCCCCCAGCAAAGTCTCTTCCTTCTCGTAGATTCAATAGATGAAGGTTGTAACATTGCAGAAAGCGACCAAACATCTACAAGCATGTCTGGAACTATAGCTGAGCTTCTAGCTAGTCACTATGAGTTTTTTCCTCCATGGTTGCTGCTCCTGTGCTCTGCCCGGAAACAGAGCAAAACTGTTACAAAAATGTTTACCGGTGAGTATACAAATCACAACTGTATTCACTTTTATATGTTCACATGGAATCCCAAATGTTGGGGTGGGAGGGTTGTTATTGGAAGAAGACACACAATCCATAAGCCAGCCTGGCCCATGCTGGGATTTGTGGGAAAATTCTGGGATTTATAATTCCAAGCTCTGGATGAATTTGCTCCCAAAACCTTTTTTTGAAAATGAAGAAATGTTTTACTTCTTTCAAGAATTTCCACATTCCTGGTGTCTTAATGTAATTAATGGTGTTTCCTGTACACAGAGTAGATTTTGTAATGTTCCTTTTCAAAACTTGTTATAAAAACAGGGGAAGAGGGACAACTGACTCAAGCAGCACTTTATAGTCTGGTTTATGTAGCATGATCTTTCATGGTTATTCATCTGGTTGTTTAGATAATAACAGAAAATGAAGCCACGTGTTTTAAAACATATTTTACATACATTAAAGTGGAATAGAAAGTAATGATACAGAAAATGTGTACTTTTATGATTGTCCTGAATAATAAATAATAATAAAACATTATTTATATACCATCCTAATATAATAATATTTTATTTATATACAGTGGCGTCTCACTTATCCAACATAAACGGGCCGGTAGAATGTTGGATAAGCGAAAATGTTGGATAAGAATAAGGGATTAAGGAAAAACCTGTTAAACGTCAAATTACATGATGAATTTACAAATTAAGCACCAAAACATCATGTTTTACAACAAACTGACAAAAAAGCAGTTCAGTACACAGTAGCGTTATGTAGTGATTACTATATTTATGAATTTAGCACCAAAACAGACACAGGTTCTTTCTTTCTCCCACCCTGGACATTATTTCGGGTGGGAGGCAGACTGAGTTGGATAATACAGAACGTTGGATGAGCAAAGGTTGGATAAGTGTACCATCCTATTTCCCCAAAGGGACTCAGGGCAGTGAACAACGAAGTCAGCAAACATTCAATGCTGTACAAAATAAGAAAAAAAACACATAAATAACCATCCAACCCAAAACTTCATAGATCCATATTTAAACCAAAAATAAGCTCATTATGTACCATTTACAATTCCACAGTAATCCATTAAGAGAACAGACAAATGAAATATAGTTAAAATTTCAAATTATAAATTATTAAATTAACTATAAAATTAACTACCCCCAGCAGCCAGGATGAGTAGTCCATATAACATACTACGCCTCGTCTTTATATGCCTGAGCACATAAGAAAGTTTTTAATTGTTTTAAAAAGTAGGTTAAAGAGGGAACTGTTTTTATCTCTTTGGGGGAGGGGCTGTTCACAGAGAAGGCCCCTCTCTCGTTCCCACCAACTGTGCTTGCGATGGGGGTGGGACCTATCTCCCCAAAGGGACTCAAGGCAGTGAATATCAACCTGACAAGGTTTAAGTTCCTGCACTATTATTATGTTTATTATTACCGTATGTTTATTTATACCCTTCTTTTTCTCTCTGTAAAGGAGATTCAAAGCGGCTTACATTAAAAGCATTTCAATACAATTTAAATTGTACAAATATACAAACGGTAAAACGGAATAAAATATAAATGGTATTAAAATTCACAGTTAGAATTCATAAAAACTTATTGAAGATATAGTCAGAGCTAAATTCACAGCACTCTGACTTGATCTTAAAAACCTTCTTCTTCTTCATTATTCTTTACCTTCTTCCTATAAAGTAGCCCAGGAGGACAGAGTTTTTGTTCTGTCTTTAAATATAATATCTGTGTCCCATAGCACTCTCTGCTACACCAGAATTCCCCATTGTCCCTGGTTGTTTCTGCAGTTCCTCTCAAGATGACAACAGGGATTGTGGCGGAAAATAGAGATCTAGGGGGCTAATACAGGATTCCTAGCCTTAATACCCAGAGGACACTAAACTCTGTTTGATCTTGGAAATTAAGAGAGGGCCAAGGCTGGTTAGGACTTGAATAGGAGCCCACCAAGGAATACCAGAAGCTGTTGGCTATGTTTGTGGAAAATGGAGATCTGTGGGACTAATACAGGATTCCTAACCTTAATACCCTGAGGGCACTAAATTCTGTTTGATCTTTGAAACCAAGAGGGTCAAGGCTGGTTAGGACTTGAATGGGAGCCCACCAAGGAATACCAGAAGCTGTTGGCTGTGTTTCAGGGGAAGGCAGTGGCAAACCACCTTCTGGGTATTCCTTGCCTAAGAAAACCCCATTAAATTCATGAGGTCTCCCTAAGTCAGCAGGCAACTTGAAGGCACATACATAAAAACAGAAGGTTCTACGGCGCTTTTGGGTAATTTGTTTGTTTTCATATATGTAGGAGCTTTCTGTATGCTTTGGGAGCAAAAAATGTTGGAAAATTGCGTCTAAAATTGAAGTGTGTGTAGAAAGGGGTTGAGGGGAGTTGAAAGACTTCAGAAGCCACAAAAGTGGGATGCAGAGTTACATATAACCCACAGGCCTTATGTTATCCATCCCTGATGTAAACTTTTAAATAGTTTTCTGGGTGGATGCTTAGCATAAATCAGTTTTTCAGAACCAGGGGTGAATTCCAAACATTTCTGATTTATTGTTTCTAGATTTTGGCAGTCTGTGCGACTTTCAGAGGACCCTGGAAGCAGATTTTTATTGTTAGGAAAGGCTATCGTTGTTCTTTGTTTCATGACAATGTAACAATAATAACATTACTTTATAATGTGTTACAACTAGGTTCTGTCAGAGATAAGTGCTGTGTTATCTTATGATGTATCTCCAGGGCATTCTATAGCATTTACTTGAAACTATAGAAGGATGAATTTGACATGTCTGTAACAAAAAGGAAATTGAATTGTCTATTCCATTCTCTAGTCTTCTATGGTCTTCAGTTTCCATCACTTGTCAGCCAGAATAGAGCCTGGACTAATCTGCATTTCATAATAATGACCAGGTTTTTCTTCTCCCTAAAAATTGGATTTGTTACCTTGTTTTGGGCGAGTGAAAGCTGCATTTTGCAAGCTCATTGCATGGGTGTAACTGTATTTGTTCATGAGAACATATTGTTAGCAAAGACTTTTGGGAATCTTTTACAACTTGTTTATCCAGTTTCTGCTGAATTGTGAGCTCATTTTATCACTCTGCTGCTATTGTTCTGGGATTTTTCTGAAATGCAGAGAAGCATGAAAACTGGATTCTTGGCTTTTTTGTAAAGCCTACTTGTATTGAGGCAGTGATTTGAATACTACTGAAGGTATAAGAAACCTGGTCTAGTACAACAGGTTGTGTTTTCATTCCCTCTAGAAATTCCTTGATGTCTTTCCCTTTGAGCTAAAGTAATGATAGGTTACTTGAATGAGTGAAGGTTTGTGTCAGCTTCAGAAAGGGGAAATATTTATGACCCCACCAGAGGGGGTGGGGTTGAAGGGTTGAAAAGCTTTCTCCCCATGCCGTAGTCATAGTCTTGACAGTTCAGTCAATGATAAGAGAAATAAAACTTGGATGTATTTAATTGTAATCATGCATCTAACAAATTGGCTAATTTGGTAGTTTACACTACCCTCATTAACCTATGTCTATCCTCTCTATATATGAGCAGCTGATAAATTCTGTTACAGTACAACTTTGCAGAAAGAGAGCAGAATGATTTTCAGACCCTTCGGTGGTTGGTGGCTTCCATGTTAGTAGGGCAAATAATCTTCTCACTCAGGAAACAATATAACTGAGTTATGACTTTTAATTGGTGATTTAATTATAAGTCTTGTGTTGATATTAACATGTAGATGCCCTGTTCTAAACCTCTGAGGTCTCAGTGATTATCTGATCAGCTGAATGGGTGCCAGTGGCAATTCAAAGTTTTAAGGAGCTATCCAAGGTTCTGAAACACTAGCCTTAATATTCAGCACTTTGGTTGACTAGTTTGCATCGTGTTTCCTCTTAATGTTTTGCAGACTTTGAAAATAAAAAATATATATTAAATGACTGATCTAGACACAAAATATGTACAAGAAAATAGAGTAAATTTATAAGTGACTAATTCATGGCCTAAATACCCTATAGGCACCAGATCCCTGTCTGATCTTGGAAACTAAGCAGGGTCAACTCTCATTAGTCTTTGGGTGGGATATCACCAATGAATACCAAGTGCAATAGATTTTATTTCAGAAGAATAAACTGGCAAAACCAACCCTGAGTATTCCTTAAAACACCTGTATGAAATTCATGAATTTACCATAAATTGACAGGTTAGTTGAAGGCGCATGCACATACACACACACAAAACCTTACAAGGATTTCTTTTTATAATAATATTACATGTACACTCAGAAACATGTGTATGCACACATGTGTACACACACACACACACTATTTGCCTTTCAGGTCATAGCAGTCCAAATTTGATTTTCTTCAAGGTGAACTGTAGAATAAGTATTAGAGGTTGCACACCTCAAGTTTTTCTTAGTCCCTTCTTTCCAAGGTGATTGTTTGTTTCCCTTCTCCTGCTTCTCCCTTATCTAGCCAAACTCAGCTGCCTTTTTTCAATCTGTCCTCATCTCAGAAACAAAAAAATAGCTAACAATTGAAGACTCTTACTAATCTTACAGTCAACATGCTAGCACTTGTATCTTTGTTTAGATATAGCTGAGAGTCCAGAACTTCCAGAAGAAAGTAAGCAGTTGGTTACAGGGCAGGTTCAGTTTATTTAGAGGAGATGTAAAAGAAAATGTTTGTAGGGAGTATACATACTTGTAAAAATGGGCATAGCTGAATAAACATTCATTTCAATATCTATATGACCTAATGTATAATTCTTAACAACAAACATATTTTATTCATTGCTTTGTAAGAGAGAAAGTGATTATATTTTAGCAGATCATAGGTATATGCTTAATTTGCTTTTCTAGGATTTAAATTTAACTTTCTGTATTAAAAATAATAATACTTAAATTTAAAATGAAATCCTATCATTTTCTAATTAATCATTACCTTTTTATCTAGTTTCAGTGACTGATTTTCTCACCTGGTGTGTTT